GGGAGAGCCACGGGGTCCTAGTGCCGCCCTCCCGGGATAGGGACTGCCCGGGGATGCCAGTGCCGCCCTCCCCGCTCCGGACCCCGACAGGGCAGGCCGGGGATGCCCCCTTGCCCTGCCCGCCCCCGGTGTGAGGATGGGGCCAGCCCTGCCCGGCAGCGCCAGGAGCAGCTCGCGGCTCCTGACCCAGCACATTGCTGGAATGCCGCGGCCTCCCCCGCGCTGGCTGGGCAGAGCAGGACCCCTCTCAGGGGTTTCGTGGGGCAGGGAAGGAGCTCCACCGCTGGCACGTGCATCCCTGGTGCCTGTCCAGGGGGATTCTGGCTCTGCTGTGCCAGTGATGCCCTGCCCTGCATGGGGCTGTGACAACTGAGGTATGAGGAAAAGCTGCAGCAGCTGGGGTATGAGGAAAATAGCTCCACGGGCTCCTCTGCTACACTCCCCGTGAGAAACTGCCCTGGCAGCATTTCCAGAAGTTCCCAGACCATTCACTCCTCACTGCACCCCAACATCTCTGCCTCTCCTCTCTCCCCTGGCCCCCCAGACCTGTGGCACTTATGAGTTCAAAAAGCTGCTATGAGTTCAGGGCCACAAAAGTGCCTGTGGCATGTCCCATCTCTCCAGGGACACAGGAGCTGGCAGTGTCCTGCCTGCAGCCCAGCAGCTCTGAGCCCTGTGAGGCCAAGGATCAGCCCAGACCCAGCACCCATCCTGTGGAGATGCAGCTGCTGCTTCCCAAATAACCTTGACTGCTTTCAGCACCCTCTTCCATGCTCAGGCTCAGCTCTACCCCCTCATCACCTCCCCCTTATTTATAGCCTGGCAGTGGAGCTGGGCACCAGTAGCCCTGTGATCAGCTGTTGTCTCCCCTGTCCCCACGTTCCGCAGCCACAACGGGGCACAACACGGGGCACCACTGAATTAAAAACACTTTTAATCGCCACGTTTGCTTTGGTCTGAATCCAAGGGCACTTGTGACAAGGCAATTCGGAGTCCCCAGGGCATATGTGGCTCAAGGGCTTCCCAGCTGGAGGGATGCAGGGGGCTCCAGGGAACTGCCCAGGCACTGAGCAGCAGAAGGCAGCAGGATGAGGGAGCCTGAATCCGGCTCCCTGCACTGGGTTTCAGGGCACAACTGGGACAAGGACCATAGCAGAGCTTCACCCCTGAGAGAGGCATCACTTTGTGGCCCTGGCAGGGTTGAGGCTCTCCTGCCCCTTGTCCTGCTGGAGCCCAGCAGGGTGAGCGTGTAATCCTGCATTAAATATTCTTCCTAGAAGAGTGGGTGGAAAACCTTCATGGTCATCCTGGGTCCATACAGGCAGATGTCCGGAGCTGACGGGGCTCCACAGGTCCAGCTCACACCCCATGCCCCGACATGGGGGGTCCCAGCCCACCCACCAGCTGGGAGAACAGGCCCTGCTGCTGCAGAGGTGGAGAATCCCTGCTCCAGGGCTTGGCAAAAGGCATTCAACTGTGGCACTGGCAGAGCCAAGACACGCTGGTGCAGGATGAGAACTGCCCCGCCGCCGGGGTCCCTGCTGCCTCACCTCGTGGCTGGCGCCCTACCCGCCCGCCCAGGACGGGTGGGTGAAGACTATGTTCCTCCTCTTGGCCCAGCGGGAGAAGATGGCCTTCTCAGTGATGAAGCGGTGCCCGGCGCGCCGGGCGCGCTCGTGCATCAGGTACATCTTGCACTCGTCCAGCCGGCCCTTCTCGAAGTAGTGGTATGGCACACTCGAGTGGTTCTTCTCCCTGGCAGGAGGGCAGGGGGTGGGTGTGGGACTTGGGGGGACACCAGACCACCCCCGCAGCCCCCCACGCACCTGCAGTAGCTGTCGCTGACCATGCCGAAGACACGGATCTGCTCACACAGCTCCATGGCCAGGATCATGGTGAACCAGCCCGTGCTCAGGAAGGAGCCGGATTTCATCCTGTGAAGAACCGTGGTTGTGCTAGAGTGGGTGGCACAGTGCAGCCAGCCTGGCTGGGCTATGGATGCCCAGTGTGGGGGGAATGGGTGCCACCCCAGGGGGGTGGCAGAGGTACCTGTTCTTCCCTGTCTCGTTCTGGAAGATGTTGTCACAGTATGTCATCTTCTCCTCAGTCAGGGTGTAGATCTGCAGCTGGGGGTATGTCTGTGTCACCTTCAGCAGTGCCTGGTAGGTTGAGCCCATCTTCTCCCTGTTCAACTTCTTTGCTGGCCCCCAGATGATGTAGAGGGTCTCCTGGGACTGCTGGAAGAAGTAGGGCTGGTTCCTCAGCAGCAGCGGGACGCTGGTGTGTGAGACCACCCGGATGGTGTTCCGTGCCCCCACATCCTCCTCGTAGCCGGCAGTGGGGGCGTGGTTCATGCGGAGGACACATTCTTGCCCATCGATGGCCTGTCCCAGGTGAGAGCCCAGCATCTGCCCCGAGCTGGACACGACGGCGCAGTGGCGGCACAGTGCTCGCTCCAGCGGCTGTGGGGAGATGCACCGTCAGCTCCCCCTTCCCTCCCGCAGCGGCTGGACACACCACAGCCCCTGTCTGCCCTTCCCTAAGGAAGGGGAAACTGAGGCACAGGTGGGTCAAGCTGCCCCAGCGTTGCCCCATCCCCGCGCACCTTCCCGTCGGGAACGCGGCTGTATCCCTGGAAGCTGCGGAGGGTGGATGCCGCGGGGCTGCCCTGCTGCCCCGGGGCCTGGCAGCAGGGCTGCGGGCGGGCGAGGGAGGACAGCAGGATGTACAGCACCGCCACCACCGCTGCGCACACCAGCGTGAGGAAGAGCCGGACCTGGAAGCACAGCGGGGAGGTTTCTCCGGGCCAGGCCACGTGCACCGGCCCCGCGTCGGATGCCGGTGGCCCCGCGGCCATGCGGGGGGCAGCTCCTCGGAGGGGGTGCCGGGCCCGGCTCGCTTCCTGCAGCGGCGATGCCCGCACACCCCACGGGCTCCGCGCCGCCCACGGGCTCCGGCAGCTGCGGGCTCAGCCCCCCACCTCAGCATCGCTTTCGGGGCGAGCGGCCGCCCGGATGCTGGGGGAGTTGCACCGGCCCCTCGTCCCCCGTCCCTGCGGGTACTCACCAGCGTCTTCATCCTCGAGGGGTTGGCGGGTCACCGGGCAGGGTCCGGGGGGCTCCCGGAGGGTGGAGGCTCGCACCCTGCATGTGGAGCGGGCTCAGCAGCGGTATCCCCGTGGGGGAAGATCCCCGGGGGAATCCACCTCCACCCTGTCCCCCAACGCCCCTGTGTCCCCCCTATTCCTCGTGCCGAGACCCCCCCGGGGCCGAAACCGGGACCGCCCCACGCACCCTCATGCCCCGGATCCCCCCAGTTCTCCAGTTCCTCCCGGGCCTCCGCGGGTGCCGCCCCGCCGGGCAGGGCTCTGGGCCGGGACGTCCCCCCGCAGCGGCGCCCCCGGTGCGGGCCTCACTCACCGCGCCGGGACCCCCCACGGCCGCCGCCGGCGGGTCCCGCATCCCGGCCGGGCGGGGACCGGGGCTGGGGC